CAGAGACACTTAATCCTCTGTGGGAGGCTAAAGTGGACTCGTGAATACAGTTTTTATTCAAATGTCCTTTGATTCGGGTCGATGGCGAACGATGGAGTAAACACACCAAGTTCATGTTTAGCGCAGAAATGTGCAAAAGGGCGGTATGTTCTCTTTTAGTACTGTCTCTGAAAGTTCACTGAGGTCTAGTCCATGTCCATGGTGGTTTTCGGGTCTATAAAGTTAATAGTCAAGAGGCTTCGGAGTGGGATATTGTGTAATATCGAAGGACATCTCACGAACATGTGTGGGGGGCCTAGCTATACCAATTCATGTTTGTTTGATAGCAAGACAAGACATGTAGCAGGCAAGATGACTAGCTTGATACCATACCATACCACACCCAGATTCTACTCCAGCATTTGGGGAAAGTACAAACAATAGTTCTGTCTGCCACATATACTTTTCAACCCCCCAAGTCTTTATGTCCATTAATGACAGGACATATAAAACCTAAAGACTACATCTGTTAAATTCGATCGAAAAAGTTTCAGATTCTTTTACGAGCTACTACTGTCTTCGCCAAATTTCTGTATTTCCAACGAATCCATTTAGAACTGTCCTTGCCAATTAAATAGGTGGGACAGGCCCGGAATATCGTACGGCATTCTTAAATGAGCCCAGCCATACGGAAGAGTACCAATATTTATAGTTTCGGCAAAGTGGTTTTCTGTCCTGCAAATATCGGAAATGTCATTTGGGTGAAGTATGTGGCCCGAACTGTATCAAAATATGGATTGATAGTCGCTCATTATACGATTTTGAATTCGCTAATAGTGTCAAACTACAAATGATATGCCAAATTACAGACAGTGGCTAAAACCTGCTGAATATCCGTTGTGTGTGTCTATGTCAACACGTAGACAGACTAACATAGTCCATCTTCGAGATTGTCCTGCTAAACACTAAATAACAAACAGGACACTGCATATAATTCTACATATTTACCATACGCTGCTACCTTCCAATCTCAGCGCTGTAATTAATTAATTGCAAAGCCAGCGCTTTCAAATAAAACCCATATCTAATGACATCGGTAGGTCGACAACATTCAATTGCCGTGGTACTTCCTTGGCGGTTGGCAAGTCCACGTTAGCCTCAAATCGTCCAGACAAAAATAAAGTTTATGTTACCACCCATAATGAGCTTGCAAGTGAAGCTCTCTCCAGGGGTTTTCTTAGCAACCGACAACAGTTTCCCCGACCCCTTTTAAGTACCATTATTATTCATTGGATTACAGCAGAAACTATTCGGCAGCAGAGCAAAGGGCAACTTTCTACAAAGTCACATAAAATACAATCACCCTCAGAGCTGTCCAAGAAGGTTGCCGCAAAATAACACCCTTCCCATAACACTCAAGGATGGACGGGGGTTTCCTTCAGAGATGACTGTTGGTTCTGCAAACAAAAAAGCCGTAATCTTAATGAAGCATTAAATGTAAAAGCATCCCCCCATCCCCAACTTCGGCCGAAAAAGCTTTTTTTGGAAAAATAAATACCAACCGATAAATAATAACGTTTAATCGCTGCGGATAATTAAGTAATGAAACATGAATATAACACACAGACATGGGCATGTGTAAAATGGAAATTCGCCTAGGATTTAGGACATTAATGCTGGCGGTGTTGTTGTGATATCCTAAATATAAATATAGATAACTTACACAGTGTCCAGAGCTTCACAGGTATCTCTAAAGTAGTACATCGCGCTCTGCTTCCCGTTAAAAAAACGAGAATCCTTTTTTTCTTTTAATGACTCCTGTTTTTTTGGAGCCCACACTTTTAATACTATGGACACCGACAGAGAGAGAGAGAGACCCTTCGAGATCCACGCAACATAATAGCAACATAATTTTTGCTAATATCTCCGCAAATACTTAAGGGATGACAAAAGGCAAACATTGTCGGCTGTTGTCAACAAGCGAATTGGCTGCAGAACTTGCAATCACGTTGGGTGTCAAGTCCTTCATTACGAGACAATCTAATTTGACTGACAGCAAGAAACTCAAATAAATGTGGGCTGACTACGTTAATGTTGGTCGAATGCGAACGGCTAGCAAGAAAATCAACTTTAATACATGTATATTTTTTCAAAAAATACTGAAGTATTGGTTTATTTGATATTCAAGCTTGCCATTCTTGGAGCAATGCGCACAAATCTGCTAAATTTAAATTAGGTGTTTTCACCCCTTGCCAACTGTATGCCCATCCGGAGGGAACAGCCATTACAAAAGAGAGGGAACATAAAAAACCCACAGCCGATGTGTTCAGTTGAAACTGAAGTGTGGAGAAAATACTTTAATGAAAGCTCGCGAGAACATAAATCTTCGCAAATGTAGTGAAAAAAAAACTCAATTCACAGGGCAAAGACAAGCAAAACATTGTAAAGAAGTGCCTGTTGTTGTTGTTGCTGCTGCTGATGCTGATGCAAAGGCATTTTTCTTCTTGAATTGTTTTGCTAACGCTTCGCCTTCTTCGTTTCGTTCGCCGTCTTTTGTGTTTTGCAATTATTGTGAGTTTTGAGCATTCATTCACATTTTTAACAAGATTTTTCATTTTATTTCTGGCTGATTCCCACTCCTTAACCGCATTACACCCACGCGAAAAATACTGTCCAAATCAAAGTTGCATTGGTGATCTCGGATATTATGCAAGTTGTTGCAAATCTTCCCAACCCTATCGATGATGACATCGACATGGACCTCATTCACCTCGATCAATAAAAATCGACGAGGTCCCATCACCATCAATATTTTTTCAATCACTCTTCTTCTTGAAGTTGTCAAAAACTGGTAGATCGCCAGATCAAGAAAAACAAAATATTTAAAATTATAAATAAGTCGGCCGTCAGCGCCATTATTTGAATCTAAAGGTTTATTTTAGAGAGAACAACAAACGTTAGACAGCAATGCTAATCTACAGCCCAGTCCAAACCTTTCGGGTGGTCAGAAAGAAAAGTAGTTTTTTCCATTTCAGGTATGCGGACTTGCCGCAAAGAAGCAACCTGTTATTTTCTTCGAGAACAGTCAACAGTTCGTTGAGCGTGGTTCATTTCACTGAAACCACTTGAAGTCTGTCATCTTTTTTGAGAACGAGCCAGCGTAGGCATATATCGCGAGTGCGGGTGTTTACGTATGTGTGTGTCCTGTTTCATGCGGAGCAAGTGTTTCTTATGCCATCGGTCTGTTCTCATCCGCTGTCGGAAAGTAGACATGGGCATGTGTTATATCCGTGAATAGAATAGCACATTGCTCCACGAAGTAACCCATATGTCCATTGTTTTTTTTTTTTTGTTTAGTTGTGACTGTCGAAGTTTCGACTTCCGATTTTTAGGAAGCCTGTCGAACAGCGAGCTGCCTCATACATACATTTCGGATCAACAATTTCCATTGATTGCTTATCATTCTCACTGCAAGCAAATGCAGATGATCCGGCAAGACAAACCCCAGAAACAAGAAATGCCACAGGGTATCCAGCTAAGCAGACAGCGGACATAAGAAAGGAGAAAGAAGGCCATTTATCTGGCCAACGCAGGCATTGGGCCAAAAAGGTTAAGTCTGCTAATGTGTTACGGGTCGTTTGTTCCATAATTAAATTTTACAATGATTAATATGCCTCCTTTCCCGATTTCTAATATGTACCCGGCCTAAACAGAACAGAACAGATTCCGTTATGAGCACACATTTGTACATACATGTGTAGGCACATGTGTGTATGTATGTGTGTATTAGGTAATGGCATCCAGTCCGTAAATGAGTTGCGATTTGCCAATCTCTTCCGACCTTCTGCCGAGTCATCCATTTCGGCAAGACGCTGCCACTGTCACGGGCATTGTACGCGTATCGTTGATTAATGCTTAAATATTTTGCAAGAGAGTCCGCCTAGTGTTCATGTTGCTTTCCTTGCTACGACTGTCAAAAAGAGTACACCCTAAAGGCTTATAACTTAAGAGCAGCGAAGGCGTCTCTCGTCGTTCTGGCAGAAGTAAGGCATTCTCCAAATAGTCGTAAAGTTTCATTTACCTCACATCCTCAAACAATTCATGTCAAATGCTGAAGGATATAAGGATTGCTGCTCCTCTTGCCGCTCCCCTTTTAGAATTTATTTATGTATAGATTACCGATACTGAAGATATGCTAATGAACCGTGGGTTGATGTTTCATCATCTTGTGTCTCACATGTTTACGCGGCGAGTGCGAGTTCGAGAGATTTGAACTTGTCACTGTTACGTTTGTTCCACACATGTGTCATCGACTTCTAACCCGAAATTCTCATAGCTCTTGGGGCCCGCCCGATTTTTGTGAAAGTAAATCTATTTACAGTTTACCCGAAAGTCAAATTACATCTGATTTGGTTGCAGATTGGGTCAGCAATCTCCCGAAAATTAGGAACAATTGCAATGCCTGTCAAATTTTCAAAGATCTATCGATATTTCAACCGTCCGGCATAGCTAAATCATAGGTATCCACGCTCGATGGGACCGCCGACGAAGATTGCGAGGTGTTGCAGACAAATTTACCACACCATTCCATTTGCGTTGGTCACAGGCTGCGGAGAAAGAATAGTAAACACTTCTGCTGTGAAATGCGGAATGACACTAGTTGAACTATGATTGAGGTCTCCCACTTAATTATGTCCAATTAGAAACATAAAGTCAACCACACGATAGGTCAACAGTGTTTTGACACTACCAAGGCTTTCGAATCGTCGTGACATGTATTACCGGAATACTCTGTGGCACTACTTTGACTAACTAACCATTCTTGCATTCGTCGCCACAACACTCTACGGCGGTTCTTCTTCCTGTCGTCCTAGTGTGACGATGTTCCTGATTTCAATTATTTCTCATTGATACATACATTATGCCAATTCAAGACACAATGACACACTTTAGAATGCCGTTGGCTGGGCGGATTCCCTCGAGACTTCAATTCAAGAAAAAAGAAAAAAAAAAACAATGAATTCCAAAATTTATTCCTCCAAGACAATGTTTTATTGTTGGTTCCCACTTTGCCATTGATTTTCCGTGCAGGGCAACTCAAAACGGACAACAAAAGCACACGACGTCATTGGGACTGTAACAGACACCCGCTGACGTGCACATGAGCGGCGTTCGTCCTCGCAGTTGATTGTGAACGTCCTCAGGTGTTAACTGAAACTTCTCCATTAACCAGTGCAATAAATCGCCAGCAAAGCCCTGGTAAGTAGGCACGTCCTGGAATTGTATAACGTTCTTATTAGAGTGGGAAATTAATTTCGTGGAGCACACAGAGACATGTTATCAAAGACACGCACACAAACATAAAAGCGAACTTGCACCACACACAAATACAAAGCCAAATACATATGGATGTGTTGCACTTGATAGACCTGGTATCTTCACCAGTAACGAGTTCAACTCACTCACAACACAACACCGCTATCAAAACTTATAAGAAATTTGAAATAACTAAAACAAGTAAAAAAGAAACATCTATAAAAGAGGAAAATGTTTGAATGTTTGTTTGTTTGTAATTTATGGACTCGAAAACCGACTCTGGACTCGAAAACCGAACTGAACAGATTTTCCTGAAAATGTCCATGTATACTACAACATCGCCTGAAAGTAACATAGGCTGCATACATTTTTGATTTTCCACTTGGAACTGGAGATATAGCATCAGAATCGGAGGTACCTCCCAAAAATTTAGATTTTATATGCACATATCTTTTGATCAATTACAGATACAGTCTCCAAATTTGGAATGCGTAACGGAATATGGAACAAAAATAAATTTGCCAAATTATATTGAAATCGGTTCAGTTTTGGATATAGCTCCCATATATGTTTTCGAACGATTTCTTTTATTTGATGCCTCGATTTCAATGAAATTTGGAATGTGTGACGGAATTTGATCCGAAAATAAATTTGTCAAATTATATTGAAATCGGTCCCATATATATTTTCAGCTGATCTCATATATTTGATGCACCAACACCATACATATGTCCGATTCCAATGAAATTCGGACATAGAGAAGAAATTTGATACAAAAAACAAGTAAACAAAGGCTACTGTCGAGCGGGGCCGACCGTTGAATACCCTACAACACTATAATAAATGATACAGTTTATATAGGCGAGATACTCGAAAGAATTCCACAAGATATTGTGACAAATAATAAAAGAAAACCATCAGGTTTCGTTCTCTAATTTTCGAATAATAGCAACTTAAGCTAATTTGCTCATTTCCAATTCTTTGGTAGATGTTGCACGTAAATGGTCTTCCTAGATCTGGAACCAATATTTCCCAAAGACCTACAATCTCTCAGAAGTGGCAAAAGATTAACATTTATTTTTGGTTTTTGACTGAAACGCATCTATATGAGATACAGACATTTGACTATATTCTTCCACGAAATCAGCGTTAACGAAATAGTCAGAAGTGCGTCTTTCCTGTATTTGTGAATTCTCCAAAAAGTCACTGGAATGGACATTTTCGTATTTTGTCTATAAAAGTTGGCAAACTCCTTCACACATTGAATATTTTTGGATGGCCATCCAAAACTGCTTGGCTTTTGCAATGTCCGGTAACCCCCATAATTACGACCTGCTGACAATTTTGCAGTTTTTTGGTCCATTTCAACCCCTAAATATATGGCGATCATTTCCAAAAAGAATAGGCTTTTATTCTGACCCTCATCTTATCTCCATGCAAAATTTCGTAAGGATCGGGGCATAAATGCGATCTGTATATGATATCCTGATATCCTAACTACTTAGTTTTGTTAGCTGTAGAAATATTACCAAATGTTTAATTCAAAATGAAAATAGGCCAAAAATATGACAAAATTGAAAAAATATGAGAAAATTTTACAAAATCAATATTTTCATCTTTAGAGAGATATTTTATGCGATTTTGTAGACGTTTTTTCTTTCCTGCCAAGAGGCCATTCTGAATTAATGAGAACTGTCGAAATCAGTTCAGCCGTTCTCGACATATATGAGATCTTTCAAGCATATATTATTTGATAGACATATATATCGCACATATTTTGCTATATATCCGATTTTTTGTATGTTAACATCAATGTAAAGATCAGAAGTAACCTTGTCATGGCTTTGTGATTTGGCCGGGATTTAAAATATTCGCGGTTTAATTAAAAATTTTGAATTTTTTAACAAAAAAGATATGGTATATTTTACCCGCTAAATATTATCCGATGACCACCCAAAGGTGGTCCCCGCCCTAAACTCTAGCTACATGCGAAATTCCGCGTCGATTGGTCTATAATTGCGACCTGTATAGCTACTGCAAAATCCTACATTTTTTCAGTATTTGATCCATTTCAACCCCTAAACATTTGGCGATCCTCTCCAAAAGAAATAGGCTTCTATTCTGACCCTAACCCCACCTTCGTGCAAAATTTCGTTAGGATCGGGCCATAATTTCGACCTGTAGCGTGATTACAAATTAACATGGACAGACGGACGGACATACATAGCTAGATCGACTCCGCTCGGCGAGCTAGGAAGATCCATATATACTTTCCTATATAGGAAACTAATATTTCGAGGTGTTACATAAATTCTGGCCCAATCAAACTTATAATAGCCCCAACACATAGTGTTGTAGGGTATAAATATATATATATATCCAAATTTTATTGAAATCGGTTGAGGTTTGGGTGTAGCTCCCATACATATATTTCGATCGATTGTTATGTACCAAACACGATCTGTATGTCCGATTCCAATGAAATTCAATATGTGTGGCAGAATTTGGTTAAAATAATAAATTTGACAAATTAATTAGAAATCTGTTAAGGTTTAGATATAGCTCCCATATATATACTCTCGACCGATTTCACACATTTGATGCACCAAACACGGTATATACCTCCAATTTCAATGAAATATGGATGGTTTGACGGAATTTGGTGCAAAAGTCATTTTTTTTAATTGTATTGGAATCGGTTCAATAGGGATATGATTTTATTAAGAAGCATTGACCCACAAAGCCTTTGCAATGGTATAAGGCTAACTGCAAAAAACGACACAGCAATTTTATTGAGGAATGGATTATTACGGGGAAGTATATTGCTTCCTCGAATTCTCCAATTGCAACAGAAATGCCACTCAACTTCAAAAGATTGCAGTTTCCAGCATACTTGGCATTTGCAATAAAATTAATCAATCCCAAGGACAAATCCTTCGTGTAAGCGGACTAAATTTGGCATGTTCCTTCTTTTCTCATGGTCAGCTTTTCCTGGCATATTCACGCGTTGGTAGACCGAGGTATTTATTTGTGTACGCATAAATGTATTACAATAATTACGTTTTTTATATTTTTGAATTTGTCTTTTTTAACCAACAAATATTCGTATATAAAATTTTCAATTCATATAAAATCAAAAAGGGTAGCGAAGCGTACCGGGTTCAGCCAGTTTTTATATAAAAGTATCTGAATTCAAGCGCGTTTCACTTTAAACTTCATATACCAGTAAGACCGTTTGCATGATGCAGTTAAATTTATCAAAAAACCATAAAGTGAGTGAGGCCGTTATATGGGACCATACCGAAACGGGAACCTCTATAGGCAATTTTATACTTCAAGGATTGTCATCTATCAAATCTTCAAAAATACCAAATTTGAAACAATTATGCGGGTAAATGTGACTAGGATTATCAAAATACCGAATGCGCTTTAGGAAAACGTGGAACTTAATATTTAATGCTCTGCCCAGCTTTCGAAAATAAACAGTACACAAACATAGTGTACCGTACCGGTACAGTATCACTAAAAAAAATTAAGCGGTAATGTACCGGTACACTACCACTAAAAAATATTTTAGTGATACTGTACCGGAACACAACGATGATCGTAGTGTACCGCAGTCGGAACACTAAAAAATCGTAGTGTACCGGAGTCGGAGCACTAAAAAAACGTAGTGTTCCGCAATCGAAGCATTAAAAATCGTATTGTACCACATGCACCACATAAAAAAATCGAAATCATAAAACTAATATTAAACAGTCAGCCATACTTTGTAAAATATTTAGTTTTTTACACATACATTCATTGATTTTTCGGTACCACAAAATAAAAGGGTAAATTATTTGCAAAATAACCCATTACAATGCAACTACTAACAAAACCCTTTTTCGCGGAAAATTAAAAATTTCAATTTTCAATTATTATAACTTCAGATTTGGTCCTTTTTTATTATTCTTTCTACCTGTTCCCATATTTTTCTACTTTCTTCAATTTCGCAACCAATCTAACCATGCAGACATATAAAATAAATGCAGCTCTTATTTTCTTAATATTGAATTGTATTAGTAATTTTTGCATTATCAAAAACATCCAACACCTAATTTTTCTCACAAATCGTAAACAACACATATGTGGTACACTACGACTGCAGAACACTACGATTTCGTAGTGTTCCGACTGCGGTACAGTACGATTTTCGTTGTGCTCCGGTAGAGTATCACTAAAATATTTTTTAAGGGTTGTGCTCCGGTACGGTACATTATCTTAGTGTACCACTCCACCTCGGAACGGTACAGAACACTACGGTACAGTACCATACTGTTTAATTTCGAACGCTGGTTCTGCCACCGGGCAAGAACCCATTATGAACTGAAAATATAAAATTTAATCAAAACATCGGGAAAATGTGGTAAAAAAAATCATCAAAATACCGAATATCGGAAGGCACCGTTGTATGGGTCTATACCAAAACTTGGACCCATAACTTAATGATTCGCCACACGAGCTAGAACCCAGTATACCCTACAAACACTAATTTTTAGAGAAATCCGTGAAAAAATGTGGCAAAAATCATCGAAATACCGAATATTATGTGGGGGCTATACCAAAACGTGGACCTATACAAACAATATTCGTAATACGAGCAGGAACCCATAATTACGTACAAATACCAATTTTTAGACAAATCCGTCAAAAATGTGACAAAAATCATCAAAATACCGAATATCGGAAGGTACCGTTTTATATGGGCTATACGAAAACGTGGATATATATGCATACAATGTTCCGCCTGTGAAACTAGAACCCATTATGACATACATATACCAATTTTTAGACAAATCGGTGGAAAAAATGTAGCGAAAATCATCAAAATACCGAATATCGGGAGGTACCGTTATATGGCGGCTATAGCAAAACGTGGACCGATATATCTTATTTTCAATACCAATGCATACACAATGCAAATTGTTCTGCCAAATTTTGAAGGTCTACGTCAAATAATGTGGGCCGTATCATGATTTCAACAGACAGACGGACATCGTTAAATCGACTTAGAATTTTATGCTGATTATGAATATATATATATATATATATGCTTTATGGGGTCTACGATGAATATTTGGGGATGTTACAAACAGAATGACATAGTTAATATACCCTCATTTCCAAGGTGGAGGAAATGAAAGTTTGTGACTCCGCGTGAGCGGTACGTTAATCGTTTCGTTTGTTTTCGTTCGCTGGTTTGCATCACTTTGCCCGTACTCAAACATGTATATTTGAGAGCATGTTTTTTTTATTCAGCAATAGGAGTTGAAAAATCACATTCGTTTCTTTTCTCTTCTTCATCTAAGTTTCATTCAAAAAGGGCTATTAATTTCAATGTTTTCAATTTTCAAAATGGAACCAGATTGTGTGCGAAAATGTTGCATGCGAAAAGAATTAGCTTCAAGTCATAAATACTTTACAAATTGTAATTCAATTTGATATTTTATATTTTGAGAGAATTGATTAGGGCGACGCAGAACAGGAACGAAATCTGTTGAAAAGTGTTTTTTTTATCGAAAGGGACAAGAGGAGAGCACTTTTAGACTTCATATTCCTTGGGAAGGAATATTCCTTAAGTAGGAGCGAACCTAGACAATCACACACGCTGATGTGAAAACTTCTACCAAAGACCACTCTGTGCATCACCAATGTTTCATCCTCAATGTTTCGTAATTTTTCCAGATTTTGCGCTTCAACAATTTGTCCCTTCCCTCGACTGTGATGTATGACCTAATTAATTGAGACAATTGCATTCATCTACTTTCACTCTCTTCTCCCTTCTTCCACTGAGTAGTAAAAAAGCTGTCGGCCACTCGCCCCCGAATAAGTCAGATGGGCATGATGTATGAGGCTCGTGGAGTAACGAACACCGTAATGAATAAAAACGACAACTTGCCCAGACTTAATTAATACTAAACAGTATTTGTCAAATACACTAGAACAGGGAGGAAGGGAGTATCAACGATGATTATGAATACGGATGAAACTGGAAATAACACGGCTAAAAGTGTGCACAAATGCAGTAAATGTAAAGAAACAAATGAAGGACGCTTTGAGATTGGGGAAAATAAAACGACAGACTCTCTGCCTGATATTCTAATGATTAGCTTACCTTAAAAGCTGGATGACGTTCTTCAAAATAATCAATCCAGTCCCCCAAACTTCGTACCATGTTCTCCTTAGTGGCAAGTTCTGGCATCCGGAATAGACCCATCGCTATTTGATATAGGAGGAAATTTCCTCGATCTAAAAAGAGAGTATTTTCAATGATTAGTCCAATAACCATGGTATAATAAAATAATGAGGTGAGGAGGAAAACGTAATTTTAGAATTGATCGAGCTGTATTTAATAATAGCCGGCTATATGTTGGCAGCCGTACTAAACCTTAACCATTGGCCAGTGACAAAAACCGGATACGTGCTCCATATTGTATATATAGCATTTCCAAATTAAATAAAATGAAACCCTATCCAAGTGAAACGAAGTTGATTTCAATTAAATTTAATCTTTTTAAACTTATAGAAAAGATAAAAAACAAATCATTTTTATTTTTAGCCATTAAATTAACTGAAATAAGCACACAATGGCTAATATAGTTTCAGTGTTTAATGCATATTTTTTAAAGGCATAATAAATCACAGATCTATGTAAGTGGCACAATTCTTATTATAAGTAATGACTCCATAGTAATTTCTAAATAGAATTAAACATTCATGGCCTGATCTTGTTTTTCAGCCATAGGCTTTAATTTGAGTGTTAAAACCCTATGTGATATAGAATATCTATAATAGCGCCAATATTCTCACATTTAATAGAATACAATATTTTCTTTGGAGGTACACTAATGTGGGGACCATTCTTAAATAAATGCCTATGTGGACAATTATCTGTAAGATGGTTCTCTACAGTAGCCTAAATACCGATATTTAGCCAACTCAATTGATGAATGTGATCAAGGCCAAGATGGACCCTACTCCGAATAGGGACCCTACTCCCTTAGAAATAACAAGTAAGCAAAGGCTACAGTCGAGCGGGGCCGACCGTTGAATACCCTACAACACTATAATAATCTATGCAGTTTATATAGGCGAGATACTCGAAAGCTATTCCGACCCTCATCTTATCCCCGTGCGAAATTTCGTAGGGATCGGGCCATAAATGCGATCTGTATATGATATCCTGAAATCCTAACTACTTAGTTTTGTTAGCTGTAGAAATATTACCAAATGTTTAATTCAAAACAAGTAAGCAAAGGCTACAGTCGAGCGGGGCCGACCGTTGAATACCCTACAACACTATAATAAATGATACAGTTTATATAGGCGAGATACTCGAAAGAATTCCACAAGATATTGTGACAAATAATAAAAGAAAACCATCAGGTTTCGTTCTCTAATTTTCGAATAATAGCAACTTAAGCTAATTTGCTCATTTCCAATTCTTTGGTAGATGTTGCACGTAAATGGTCTTCCTAGATCTGGAACCAATATTTCCCAAAGACCTACAATCTCTCAGAAGTGGCAAAAGATTAACATTTATTTTTGGTTTTTGACTGAAACGCATCTATATGAGATACAGCCATTTGACTATATTCTTCAACTAAATCCGCGTTAACGAAATAGTCAGAAGTGCGTCTTTCCTGTATTTGTGAATTCTCCAAGAAGTCACTGTAATGGACATTTTCGTATTTAGTCTACAAAAGTTGGCAAACTATTTCACACATTGAATATTTTTGGATGGCCATCCAAAACTGCTTGGCTTTTGCAATGTCCGGTAACCCCCATTCAAATGTGCCTGAGGATCGGGCGATAATTACGACCTGCTGACAATTTTGCAGTTTTTTGGTCCATTTCAACCCCTAAATATATGGCGATCATTTCCAAAAAGAATAGGCTTTTATTCTGACCCTCATCTTATCTCCATGCAAAATTTCGTAAGGATCGGGGCATAAATGCGATCTGTATATGATATCCTAACTACTTAGTTTTGTTAGCTGTAGAAATATTACCAAATGTTTAATTCAAAATGAAAATATGCCAAAAATATGACAAAATTGAAAAAATATGAGAAAATTTTACAAAATCAATATTTTCATCTTTAGAGAGATATTTTTATGAGATTTTTTAGACGTTTTTTCTTTCCTGCCAAGAGGCCATTCTGAATTAATGAGAACTGTCGAATCAGTTCAGCCGTTCTCGACATATAAGAGATTTCTCCAGCATATCTTCTTTAATAGACATATATATCGCACATATTTTGCTATATATCCGATTTGTTGGATGTTAACATCAATGTAAAGATCGGAAGTAACCTTGTCATGGCTTTATGATTTCGCCAGGATTTAAAATATTCGCGGTTTAATGAAAAAAATTGAATTTTTTCAACACAAAAGATATGGTCTATTTTACCCGCTAAATATTATCCGATGACCACCCAAATTAGTAGGCTTCTTCCCCGCCCTTAACTCTAGCTACATGCGAAATTCCGCGTCGATTGGTCTATAATTGCGACCTGTATAGCTACTGCAAAATCAGACATTTTTTCAGTATTTGGTCCATTTCAACCCCTAAACATTTGGCGATCATCTCCAAAATAAATAGGCTTCTATTCTGACCTTAACCCCACCTTCGTGCAAAATTTCGTAAGGATCGGGCCATAATTGCGACCTGTAGCGTGATTACAAATTAACATGGACAGACGGACGGACGGACATACATAGCTACAACGACTCAGCTCGGCGAGCTAGGAAGATCCATATATACTTTCCTATGTGGGAAATCAATATTTCGTGGTGTTACATAATTTTTGGCCAACACATAGTGTTGTAGGGTATAAAAATGCCAAATTATTCCATATAAATTAAAAAAGTGGCCAAGATCCCGAAAATATCTTAAATCATATGATGGTTATACCAAACTGTGATCATTTTTTGCAAGGATGGGTTCTTCTCAAATTACAAACATCTGTCGAAATTAGTATGAAAAGTTAGGTTAATACGTGGTACAATGGGTTAACATTTAAAAATCGAGTTGTACCGTTACCATATCATGACCTGCAAAAGCGATTTAAGGTATCTCGAAAGTCCAGGAAGAATTTCTGGAAGAACGCATTATCAGTCATTTTTGTTTTTTTTTTTTAAATATGTTCGCATCTTCCAGCCGAAGCACGATTTAGATCCTGGAGTTGAAAGCTAGATGCCAATTTTAGACAAGAAAGATCGTCATTTAATATCATCTGTAATATTATTCATTCATATTTCAAAACAATAAAAAGTTTACACTTCAATATAGTATGTCAAATTAAAAAAAAATGTACGACAAAAATAATTTTTTTTTCACATTTTTATTGCCATATTTTGACACGATTTTTTTTGCTAGGACACCATTCCAAAATTGTATATATAGTCAAAATCCGTCAAGCCGTTCTTGAGTTATAAGTGTAGTAACTAGCATAACTATCTTTTGTATGGTGAAAACAATTCTTTATTTTTTATCCTCTTCTTAAATGTTATTATTCGTATAGTTCCACTTACCCAATAAATAGATAAAATCTATAAATGAGAGTCTTGTCCATTGTCGCTTTGTACTACCCTAAAAAGACTACACATCATATTAGAATCCGAAAATAGAAAAAAAAACACTACAAATGTGCATTCGAAAATAGTAAGTCAAAAGGGAAAAATCATGCTATATAAAACACTAGCCGAACCCGGTGCGCTTCGCTACCCCTTTTGATTTTATATGCATTCAAAATTTTATTTACGAATATATGTTGGTTAAAAAAAAAACAATTTAAAAAAATTAAAAAAATATATTGCACTACTTTAATGCGTAAATAAACAAACCATTAGAAAAGCAGTAACATGACATGCATACACGAAGGGTTTTCCTTATTTATTTCATAGCAAATACCGAGCGTGCAGGAAACTGCAATCTTTTGAAATTGAGTGGCATTTCTATTGCAGTTAGTGAATTCGAGGTAGCAACATACTTCCCCGTAATAAGCGTATTTTAAATTAATTGTTGTATAGTTTTTTGCTGTTAGCCTAAGGCGTTGTGGGTCAATGGTTCTTATTAAAATCATATCCCAATCTGATCCGATTTAAATATAATTTTAAAAAATTTACTTTTACACCAAATTCCGCCACACCTTTCATATTTCATTGAAATTGGTGCGTCAAATATGTGAAATCGGCCGACAATATATATGGGAGCTATATCCAAATCTTAACTAATTTCCAATTAATTTATCACATTTTTTATTATAACCAAATTTTGCCACACATTCTGAATTTCATTGGAATCCGTCATATATATCGTGTTTGGTGCATAACATGTATGAAATCGGCCGAAATATATATGTTAGCTATACCCAAACCTCAACCGATTTCAATATAATTTGGCAATTTTTTCTGGCACCAGATTTCGTCTCTCTCGCTTTGGGTGCATCAAATATGTGAAATCGGCCGATAATATATATGGAAGCTAAAATCAAATCTGAGCGAATTTGAATATAATTTGTCAAATTTATTTTTGTACCAAATTTAGTCACATATTCCAAATTTCTTTAGAATCGAACATACATATCGTGTTTGGTGCATCAAATAAACGAAATCGTTTGAAAATATATGTGGGAGCTATATCCAAATTTGAACCGATTTCGATATAATTTGACAAATTCATTTTTGCTCCCAATTCCGTTACGCATTCTAAATTTGGAGACTGTATCAATAGTGCATATAAAATTTAAAATTTTGGGAGGTACCTCCGATTCTGATGCTATATCTCCAGTTCCAAGGAGAATTTCAAAAATGTATATAGCCTATGTTACTCCCAGGCGATGTTGTATTATATATGGAAATTTTCAGGAAAAGCTGTTCAGCGTTTTTCGAGTCCATAAATTATAAACAAACAAACAAACATACACACATTTTCCTCTTTTATAGATAAAGAAGATTACGATTGTACATTTCAAAAGTCAAAATGAACATTTTAAGACTTCTATGGATTTTATCCTTTTCTGCCAAGAGACAGTTCCGAATTTGTCTGATTCGCTAAAATCAGACCAGCGGTTCTTGACACAACTGTCTAGATATGCCCCCCTCCGAAACGCCAAATTTAGTTTCATAACAATGTTTCATACATCGTATTATATTTTCAGACTTTCAAGGTTTTACCTTTTCCACCAAAGTCTTGAAAATCTTTCGATTTAGTGCGCATATCTAAATCAATATACATTTTTCATT